TCAATACCACGCTTGACCTACCGGGGTCTTACGTGGTTCGACACTCCAAGTCCTGGAGCTTAGGTTGCCAGGTTACGATCACTGGACTTCGTGACTATGGGGTCCGCCTCATCTGCTGTTCATTACACTGGTTTGTAATAAAAAAATATCATCACCAATCCATTTGAAATGCAACTGTAGGTGAGCATGCACTTTCTGTAAATTCAGCTTTGGGTCGGAGTCACCACTGTGATAAACTGGATATGTTTCAAATCATCATTTGGAATGAAAGATCAGGGCTGCAACAACTCACCACCTTGTCCACTATTCATGGATTACGGAACTTTTCCCACTGCCTTGAAACGCTTCAGTCCTGCTTACATGAGTATATGCAACAACGGCAACGCACAGTTCTTCACTAAGATGGATTTGTATGTGGATGGATGGGTGTTTAAGATGCACATTCGGTCCCTCCCGTCTGCCAATCATTCGACTATTCGATAAAAATTAACGGTAATACATAAATTTAACGTTTTAATTCTTTCGACCGTAAGCAGTGATGTCTAACCCTCTGCTAACAGGTTGAAGTGATGTACCGTAGATGGGCTGAACCCTATTGTCACGGGGACCTACTCTCTGGTTGTGAAAACCGGCCATTAAAGCTCGAGTGCTTTGAGTATCGGATAAAGTAACAAACTGGAAAACAGAGTAACGGACTACGTTAAGGCCTTGTTGAAATAGACATGGGATTACACTGAACGACGTCGTAGGTACTTACTATCAAAGTTGGGTGGTGGTGGCAAACTTCAAACCTCAAAACCGGAAAATTCAGCACAGTTTATTAAATGCGAACGGTTTAAAAAAATAGTCTATTCGGAGTTAAATATCCTTCATCCGATTGATTTTTAAACAATGCAGTCAAAATTCGTCAATCAGGATGTTTGCGAGTTGTTTGTTACACGTCTGTGTTTGTACCGCATTTGTGCTACAGTGAGAAGTTGAATGGGAGAACACAGGCGATGGTTGGTAATCTTTGACTTACGACTGAGGGCGATGGTGGACGATTTGTATTGATTTCTTGCAGTAGTTTAAACCGAGATGATAACTTCGCTTGTAAAATCACTGACGGGCATGAAGAAATCTTTTATATTTCGTAAGTTGACCATATCACTTCTTGCATGAACTCGTTTTGTGGTGATTTGCCCCCAGTCACCGGTTATGCGCATGTTTCACAAAAATAATAATGGAGATAAATGGTAAAAATTCGGTTGGCTTATTCTTTTATTCAATTCAATTTATTTATTCAATTCTCCTCGGTTATCGCGTATGTATGCAACGACAACCTGAAAATGTCTTAATTGAGAGGCTTCGCATCTGATAACACAGAACAAACAGAAATAAGGATGATTTCTCCTGTATCACGCCGCCAACTGTCAACTTCTGATGAAACCAGTTCTCCGATTGATTCAATGATTCACTTACTTGGGAACTAAGTTACTCTTTGTTGTTGTTGGTCTGGTGTTTATCTCACATCATATGTTATTGCACAGTAGGAACAACGTAACCCCTACTTTGGGAGCTTGATCGCAGCTGGCGGTGGTGTTGGGGAGGAGATCACATCACGAATAGCGAAAGCTAGAGTAGCTTTCACCAACCTGCGAAACCTGCGGCGCCGCCATGACATCCGACTGTCCTTTAAGGGCAGGGTGTACATCACCGCGATTCGTAGCGTTCCACTTTACTGTTGCGAGAACTGGCCCCTCCGCGTTGAGGATGCTAATCGACTTTCTGTACTCGGCTACCGATATCTCCGAAGCATTGCTCGTGTATGGTGGGAACATCGGGTGAGCAATGACAATGTTCGTCGTCGTGTGTTGGGTGCGGCTATCAGACCATGACATGGCGTAGAGGTATGAAGAAGCTGGCTTCAGTTTCGGCTTCGGTTGGTGCAGCCCACCTTCCAGGTTGGAACCCAAGGGATGAGAATTGTCATTGGTTAGAGACGCTGAGCGATAAGGCCCAGAATAGAAGTCAGTGGCGTGAATGCTGTACAGTCTACCTTTTGTAGTCCCTCGCAGTCCTGCTTCCACTGCTTGTCGTCGGGAGTTCTTTAGTAGCTCAACGTTGCCTACCATTTTTTAATCGTATTACTATTAGTAAAAGTGTACAATAAAAGTGAAGTTCTAACTTGTGAATAAAACCGAGAGCTGATTAATCATAAACAAATTTTAGGAGAATATAGAATCAACCGTAACTATTTTACAATTTTATCCTTGGATCAAATAAATCTCTTCTTTTTTCTCTTTTTGGCCCTCTGTTAATCACTACTCTCCAAATTATTCATTCCAGCTGACTTCGTGTTCCACCCAACACCGTCTTCAATTCTGAGTCGCCATGTCTACATTGGGCCAACAGCGAAAAATGGTCGAACAATTGCGACAGGAGGCCAGTTTGTCGCGGCGTCCAGTGTCCGAATGTGTTCGTGATATGATCTCGTTCATGGAACAGAATCGGGAGAAGGACTGCCTTGTGAGTGGGTTCGCAAGCAAGAAAGATAATCCGTTCCAGGAGAAGGGCGGTTGCCTCATGTTGTAAATAGGGCTAAATGCGTAGACTACCGGATCTGTCAGTCAGTCAGTTACGTGAGGTTCCAGACTGTGTGATCCGGTGGAGAATATGCACTCTGAGCATTTGTTTGTCACTTTAATTTTACTTACACTACTCGAAAACAGCTGAGTTCTTCAGTCTCTTTCTTTCTCTGTCGCTTTGTTTACCTGAACTCTCTGCTCCATTCGGTTTAGAGGAATCAGCTGAACGGGCGGTTCCCCGTTCATCGATCTCTTCCATCATCCGGATCTGACGCTCCACACCTAACCAATCTCAGTTCTCATCGAGTGTGTTCACATGTTCACTTCCGATCTGTTTAAAAGTTCCCTCTCGTCATCAATTTGATGTCACTGTTCTAATGATTTTAACTTGAAACAGTTTTTGTCTGCGTTTCCTCTTCGTTTGTGTGTGTGTGGTCGCACTGCAAAATCGATTCAAATCAAATCTATTAACTTATTGAGCGGAGCGATTATTTAGGATCAAAGCGATGGAGTTGACGAACCGAGATACACGAGTCTATTTCATTCTCATTCGGAAAGAAAGCAATCGCACTGGCCATCAAAAACAAAATTTACTGTGAAATATAATTTTTTTTCTCATCACTTTTTGTGTGACCCCAACACCCGGGTTCGGATTTAACCAACACGCACGTATTTCGCATCCCTGACCACAGTTCGCTGTCCGCATCTTGAAATCAACTGTGGGGATCAGGGAATGCAAGGGTGTAAGAGGCATTCAGAAGAAGTATTAACTCTGACCTAGTATGCTGCCTTGTTCCTTGGAGTATAACGGCGCATATATATCCTCGGGACTGAAAACTAGTCAAATTCTGAGGAGCTCAAGTCAAAACTCCAGTTTCATCACTGCTGATTTCGAGCTATGCTAGACATCTGTAATTTTTATTTACCTTCTGTCTTCAGTAGTTGAGGAAGGAGGTATGTATCTGGGTGAGTATTTTTCAATCTAACTACTTTTTGGTCTAAGGGTTAAATAACTCTCTAGTATTCATCCATCATTCACCCAACTCACACTTGCCTCAACGAATCCGGAGTATGTTTGAACGGTAAAAGCCCAGGCACAAAGCTCGACAGATGGGCTAAATCAAGGTCATGGTAACTGAGGCTTTTGCAGACACGGCAGGCGAGGACAACTAGCTTATGAGCAGATGAGTTGAATCGAACGACCTAAGGGGAAGTTTAAGCGAGAAGGCTGCATCTACACTTACCCAGTGGCGAATAATCATGTACCAACACACTCCTTACAGTCAGCACTTGGTTGAGCAAAGGCGGCAGGTGGTTCCATGAAAACAATCGGGTGGTACATGAGCCCCCCGGTAGTCATCAGTATGATCTTCTTCAAGGGAGCAGTCGGAGTCAGCAACTGATTGCGCGATTTGATACAGCGCATGGCATTATCGAGTTCCAAGAAATTCCGAGGGAAATGCATCCAATATATTGTGTCAAATGATCCCGAATGCGATGTAGGTATTGGTATCTTTCCACAGTCTACGGGATTCTCAGGTAACTGAGCGGACGCAACACTCGAGCTATCTTATTTCAACCATGGCAGTTGTAATTGTTGGGTTTCTTAAGTTAACGTCCAAATCCAGTAGTACACCCCGTAGCGATCTCGCTGAATTCATTGTTCCCAAGAATTCCGATGCATGTGCCCCTTTGACCGTCTGTCGTCTAATATCGGCCACTGTTTGCCTTCAGTGCAATCCTCGAAGCCGTCTGTCGACTCAGAAATTTTTCTCACCGGCACATCTACCTGTTGTATTTTTACTGTTCATCTCAGTTAACCACTCACCTATTATCACTGCCCGTCCACTACACATTTTCACATTAGCATTATCAATTCTTTTTCATCGTCTTCAGTGCGTTGCTCTCTCCCACTGGAATTTGTGAATCGTGTGGGAAATTCGCGCGCCCAGGGTGTTTATAAAAAGCATGTCAAGTATGAATACAGTTCCAATTGGCAAAAGTTCTCTTTTCAGATCTCGTCATGTCTATGAACAAAAATGCATCAAATGATGAAGGTGATGAATTCGATTATTTTGGTGCAAAGTTTTAGCATCAGCTCAATACGTGGAATGAAATAAAAAAGATACGATGTAGAGCCAAAATTTATCACTCATTACTTCCATACGGTATCTGTGTGTGATCGATGTTCAATAAAGCATCATAGAGAGAGGTCGATCGGTGACGAGGAGGAGGATTCGGGTCGAGTGAGAACAAAAGACGAGAGAGATCGTGAGTAACAGGAGTCATAACCGTGCTTCAGTATTGACCGCCTCCTCACAGAACGATCAATAATTGTGAAGAACCAAACTGAGCTTGGAACTACGTCAAGAGTGCATCTGATGGTCAGGGCACTGAGCGCCTTCCTGGTCCGGAATACTGATACTTTCGGTTTTGTTGTTGATATGAGTTGGATGGTTTAGCGTATCCTGATCGGCTGTTCTGTGGTGACTCATATCTCGGAAGTTGTAGTCCGGACTGAATCCAAGCAATCGCTGGATCGTTAATAAATATTCTTCGTGGACGCGTGTTTGTTTTCCCATGAGTTGAATTGGAAATGGCATCACAGCGTATGGTCATTCTATTCGGTCCGGATCTTCTCGAGTTAATCTAAAAATAAATTAATGATGTGATCGAGTAAAGGAAACAAGATAAAATGGTTTCTGGAGAGACAGCTTTCTTTTCACTCATAAAATGGCGTCAACTGAAAGCTATGAAGCACCGTCACACCGGTGGTTACTGTCAGCGTTGCGGATCCAACGATGTCACTGAATCCGGGATACCGCATCTCAGAAGTTTCCTAACAACTTGAGGCTAATCTATTTTAACCCCACATGTGACAGCACACTAAGAGTTACCAACCTCGTTCAACTCAGCCCTCTTCCGACTACGGAGCCTGACAAAGTAAACTCGAGGTCCTGTCCCAATGCGTTGGCCTGCTGCCTGACTAGTCCCAGGTTCGATCTGGTGCGGGGAAAGAAACAAAGATGTGCAATGTTTCTCTATCTTCCATTTCCGATTTTCCTTGCTGCGCATGTACGTTTTCAAATTGAATATATTTAAAGCATATCAACCACAGTGTTCTAAACACAATGATCCACTTCGACTCCTTAAAATCTTGATCTTGTTTGTACGTTCTTTTCAAGGCCAGTGGATGAATCAGATATAATTTCAACCTTAGTCAGCCAATCGAAGGATACAGTTGGACGTGAAAGATAAAACTCCTTCAACAGATGCAGAGTAACGTGAACATTTGCCGGAACTTCACAAGAATGCATTCCGTTTTTCTTTAAACACTCCCACCAAGTGCATAGTCAATAAATCACAGAATGGAGAAGAGCCTAGTTCTCAGTAACTCATAACCGTGTCCATGCATTACAATCTGTGTGACTTCTGACGACATTTGAGGAAAGGATAACTCATATCATAGTTTAGTTGGGGACAATTTCATTTTGGACATCAAATATGAGGACTTTCCGTGCTCACAGTTTTCCCAGCAGATCCGTGATTGCCACTCTTCGTTGCTGGAAGCCGGAACTATTAGGTCATTCATTCATTAGTGCCGAGGTATTTCGTCCCTCTGTGTATAGGGATCGCGGTCATGTATGGAGTTACATTCAGTATCGTAAGCCGTAGGAATTCATTTACATGAACCCACTCGTTCTGAGTGCCCGAAAGACAATATGTGCCGCTCCAATCGCCCCCCCCCCACACACACAATCACATCGGGAGTCATCTAGACGATCGGGTGGATGAGGAAACAATGTTGTTCTTAATTTGAACAGTTTTTTGTTTGAACCGAAGATTCTGGTTCTCTCTTCATCTCGTTCCCTCAAAATTAAGGTCAGCTTTGATAGACACTGAACGACCTTCCCTAAAACGGTTTACAGAAGTATCCCACCCCTCCCTTAGCCCTTAAAATGAACGAACCAACTAGTAAATATACGACTGATCGAGTGACATTTGTGAACTGTAACACAGGACGGCCGGGTGTGTGATGGTCACATGGTAACAAAAACGCGAAAAATTTGGGTCTCGACTCTTACTTTCGAGATAATTGTTGTGAAATGGTGAAATTGCGCAGATAATCGCGCGTTGACCGAATTCCGAATGGGGTTGAAAAACACCACTGGTGGTGATCATTTCAATGCCTTTTTGTTCCGGTTCTTTCCTTGACACACACACGTCCTTCAATTGAGTGTTCGAGGGTTTGAAAGACCACGAATGAAAATCGTGACGTGGATGGAATGCAGTGCGATCGCTCCATTGCTCACATGGTTGACAGAGGAGGACCAAAGAAATATCGGCCAAGAATCACTTAACTAATCTGTCTCCCTTAGATTTCTTTTTGTTGGAATATCTAAAGCAAACAGTTTATTCCCGAAAACGATTGAAGAACTTCAAGGAAGTATCATCCCGCAGTGAGAAAGTATTCCACCATGCACTACTCGGAATTTGGAAGAAAACCATCATCGTACTTCGCTATGTAAGCAACAGGACGAAAAATATGTTGAGCACTATTCATAGAACAAATATGCATTTTTCCTGATTTGTGTTTTCTCCTACGGAAATCTATCTCTGACATAGCCAGAGCGTCCAAAACGAAAGCAGCCGGTTGGGGAAATACCAAGGACAGTTTTCCGTTATCCTTAGCCTGTATTAGTGGACACTGGACTCTGTACTTTGAAAAAGTCCAACAATTTATTTGATCATCCACTTTCGGGATCCGCTTAGATACATACTGCATGTGTCTTAGGTCAGCCCACTGGTGGTACAGTGTCATCAACGCATAAACTTTTTCCACTCAGAATTTCGCAGCTGGTGCTCCATAACTGATTCTCCGATGAGGATACTCTACCAACTACTAATTGCAACCTTGGCCTTAGTGAACTCTCTATTTTCTATCTAATACTATGCGGGTCCGACAATCACACGATCGATCGGGTTCATTCATCGATCGGTCGGGTGGTTCAGCCACACCAAGGGATGCGATAATTGCCAAGTTAAACCGAACTAGAACCAACGTCCTGTCCACCACCGAGAGTCTTAAGCATGCTCAGTGAACTTCGACTGCACAATAGGAGCGCCATCATCACGCGGCTGGTAGGCAAAAACAACAGCACCACGCACAACGAACCGGTAGTCAGACAGTCTCGTGTCAGGTTGAGGGATTCCAAGTTGCGTAAATCGCGGAAAATGACCCAAGCGGATTGCATAGAGAGTTAGAGGGAATTTGATTGTTTTGGGTCTTGGGTGAGAGTGAAGTGAAACGATGGAGCGATCGCAAAACTTGTTCTACCCGAGGTCAACTAACTGACAGGCAGCAACAACAAGCCCCTGGTGTCAGGTCATGAGCAGTGACCGAGGGGAGTGAAAAAGAATCGGACCGACCACAACAGCGCATTACCTAAAAATAGATTCGTGCGGAGATCGACAAAAGCACGCGTCACGTGAACGACTGTCCGATGGCAGGAAAATTATTTTTTCCCAAATAACGTATTTTCCAAGAATGCTTTGAGTGACGTAGAATGGGTAACCCGGGTTGCCCTGTATTTTGTGGATTTGCAAAAGAATAAATCATTTCTCATGGCAGATGTCGTGCCTCTTATCACGAACTTAGGATGTTCGGTGTGTGTGGGGTGGGGACAGAGAGCTAATGGATCCACGCCAAAAATAACTGAGCATTAGCCTTGAAACAAACGGAAACCAGTAGCACGATGCATCGCTCGAAAAAAATGAACATTCAAAGATAGATAGCGGATATCTTCCGCGCGTGTTTAGTTTGTCGTATTGATGATAGCTAGGTTCGACAAGGTAAGATGTAGA